CCTCTGGGTTTCATTATTTGACTATTTTTTTCAAGGCACGTCGGACTATCGTATTTGCTGACAGTAATCTTGAAGACTTGGCGTACCCGCCCGAATGTATCGGACCTACAAGCCCCAGAGACCAACGGACTTGCCGAGATCGGCTTTTGGTGATCATTTGTTGTTTTGTTACCTACGACACACCGAACACAGCCTTAGCTCAGTTGAGTAAGGATTAAAATCGAGAAGTGTTTCTTTTTTTGTTTTTGTAGGAAAGGGCTGCGTAATCGACAGGCGTCTATTTAAGGGACCAGAAGATCATTCTGCTTGTAATATGCTGTGCACGTGTTGGGAATGCGATGTTTTTTCAATGTCGGAAGATTATGTTTCTCTGTCATTAATGTTTGAAAATTACTTTTCTAGCGGCGTAATATAAATGACCGCTAAATATTTTCGCATCGCATTTGTTCATCGTTTTTTAATTACCGTTTGATTTGGTCTCAAAGGTATGGGGCATATTCGTAATCGCTTAAAGGGGAACGTGTATTGCTTTGTGGCAAATCAGGAAAAAAGATGATGCAAAGGTGAATCCCGGAGGCGGGTACCAATTTTTCTAATGAAATACGTATTTAGCAAATGTTCACGACTGACTTCCACGGTGAAGGAATAACATCGTGTAATAAAAATCAAACCCGCAAAATTATAATTTGCGTAATTACGGGTGGCAGAACCTCTTGTGAGTCCGCACGGGTAGGTACCACCGCCCTGCCTATTTCTGCCGTGAAGCAGTAATTCGTTTCGGTTTGAAGGGTGGGCCCCCGTGGCAGCCGTTGTAACTATACTGAGACCTTAGAAATTATATCTCAAGGTAGGTGGCGCATTTACGTTGTAGATGTCTATGGGCTCCAATAACCACTTAACATCAGGTGGGCTGTGAGCTCGCCCACCTATCTAAGCAATTAAAAAAAGTGCGTATTGGCCCAACTAATATCACTCCAATGAGTAATCTCAAGTTAAGCCCGCAGTGAACTAATCAATGAAATTTATAATTCTAAAACCACCAAATAAATAGATTTAACATGTTTATCGGAACGAAATTGAAAATTGTTTCCGCCTTAGTACTCGTAATATTACACAAAAAGATAAAACAAAAAAAAACCACAAAGGTATTTTACAATGTTCGCAAATTTAACGAAACCCAGACTTAGACTATAAACCTGCAAACTTCCCCCGAGTATAAGTAATAAAAAAGATCGCACAAAATCATATTTTATCGGGAAAGCTATTTTTCGTAGGCGGATCCGAGCGAGTTCCGTCGATGGTTATGTGAAATGCCTCAATTTCCCTCCAGCTATATAAAACGACCTGTTAACAATAACAACACTCATAAAGTAAACGTGAGCTAGCCCTTAAATGTTTATATTCGCACTTTATTTAACAAATAGATTTGTCAATCATATAAATAGACCAATTTTATTTAGCAGTAAAACGTAGCAATTAGACATAGAAACTAAATAATACCATTATGTTAATTTTGTAGGTGTATTCTATATATATAAAATTGAATTGCTGTTCGTTAGTCTCGCTAAAACTCGAGAACGGCTGGACCGATTTGGCTAATTTTGGTCGTGAATCATTTGTCGAAGTCCAGAGAAGGTTTAAAAGATAGATAAATATGAAAATTCTCGGAGTTAAATAAAGTTTAGGTCTTTTATTTATCGATTGAGGCACTACGAAGTCTGCCGCGTCAGCTAGTTTGTAATAAAAACTGATGTAAATTATTATTTTTCTCTTTTATTTTGATCACACGACATGTGTATGTATTATATAAAAAGTAGAAGAAAAAGCGTTGCTGCAGTACATAAATGATAAGCTAATAATTATTATATACCTAACTAAATTATGTCATAGATAATAAGTTACTAACAAACATTTAAAATATCTGTAATATATCTTCTAAATATTATTTTTTTGCTTTACAATGCCACGTCCCACTTGTAAATAATTCACCAGTATCCTTATCTATTCTTGAAATTTCAGTGCCTGTGTGAAAAATTGTTTCATATTTATGAGCTTCCTATAAATAAGACTATCCTCTGAAAATCAAAATAGTTTTAGTTGGAGTATACATAACGTAATTAAAACTAGCGCTATTAAAAGTGATTCTGGATTTATTCATTCTAGTACTATGTATTAAGTCGGCAATACAAGAACAAAGTAAGTACATCTTTCATTTGCCAGAATTTTTATCGCACGAAATCATATCGTGTTTGTGGAGCTCATAAAATTGCAACTTTACTATTTGTTTTCATCCCCTTGCTCTTTTTTGATGAAACAATTGTTTCAATATGACGCTTGTATTCGTAGTACAGTGTGTTCTACTTTCGTAAGATTTTGCTTATTTTTGAAGTGAAACTTCCTTATCGGCGTTGGAAAAAAATTTACCGTCACATTTTTCGGTTACGCGTCACATTTTTCCGTTACGCGCCATCTTTTTTGTATTCATGTCTATGATAATAAAATCCTTTTGTTTAAACTTTATCTAATTTAACTTTTTTGTATTCATGTCTATGATAATAAAATCCTTTTGTTTAAACTTTATCTAATTTAACTTTTTTGTATTCATGTCTATGATAATAAAATCCTTTTGTTTAAACTTTATCTAATTTAACTTTATTTAACCAATTTCTAGAAAGTTGCATGTAGATCATTTTTCGAAAAATAAGGCCATAAAGAAGTTTCACTTCTTACGTGTGTACACTAGTACACGCACACATTTTTTTTAATTTCATTACTAATCTAATAATTGATTAATTAAGAATTACAAAAACAAAATTTTTACCTGATACTATACGGTATTCTTTTAAATGTTGGCGCCTTAATTTACAGGGTAGTGCGGCGACACATGTATTTAATAATGTGTTTATACTGTGTATTCTCTATGTGACGAGAGAAACCAAGGTGAAAACCAACTTGTAAGCTTGAAACTTAAAATACATATGTCGTCATAGTGGAAACGGCAAACATTGTCACCAATGTGAAAAGAATATAAATCATCAAGGCACCAATCGTCAAGATCGTCTTTGGCGATTACAATACTCGTTAAAAAAAATTTTTTGTGTAACTTAGTGTAACTTTAGTCGTCGTAGCCTAATGGATAAGACGTCCGGTGCATTCGTGTTGAGCAATGCACCGGTGTTCGAATCTCAAGCGGGTACCAATTTTTCTAATGAAATACGTACTCAACAAATGTTCACGATTGATTTCCACGGTGAAAGAATAACTTCGTATAATAAAAATGAAACCCGAAAAATTTTAATTTGCGTAATAACTGGTGGTAGGACCTCTTGTGAGCCCGCGCGGGTGGGTACCACCACCCTGCCTATTTCTGCCGTGAAGCAGTAATGCGTTTCGGTTTGAAGGGTGGGGCAGCCGTTGTAACTATACTTGAGACCTTAGAACTTATATCTCAAGGTGGGTGACGCATTTACGTTGTGGATATCTATGGGCTACAGTAACCACTTAACACCAGGTGGGCTGTGAGCTCGTCCACCCATCTAAGCAATAAAAAAAAAGTATAATTCAAAACTATCCTCAATAGCTGAAGGTATATTGACATTAGAGACACGGCCGCCGCCGAGAGAATGCTATGCACAACGCCTGTCTTTTCGTCTGATAGGTTTCTTAAAGTACGTCTTCCGTCAACATCTTTTGTTACAATCATATTAGCTGTTATGCTCATTTGTACTCATTTTATTTTAGTATTAACGTTAATCACCTGTTGAATAAGTACCTATAGGTGATGCGATTTATAAAATATCCCAGAAACGTGATCGAATACTGAAACTCATCTACGATTTTACAACGCAAGCAATAATTCAATCAGACGGGGCTTAACCGGGCTTCGTGTTTATGAAATACGTGAACCCTTATCATATTGTTTTGACGACCTCTATCCTCTCCATATAAGCTTTCTGATATTCGATATGCTTACCATATTAAAAATATATAGCTCATATTATTTTGTTAAATATCATCATGAATTATTTAATTTAACGTGAATACCTATGCCTAGCTCGAAAGGCTGATTTATCAGCTACGATGAAACAAAAGATATCCCGCTCTTCAAACCGGCTTCGCGACAAAAATGAACAAGATGGCGATTACACATAGCGTGAACTAACAATTCCCCTTTTTATCAATAGACCATATTGGTTGACTTCGTCACCCTATCTTTCCGATACGCCGAACAGGCGGTCAAGACGACGAACAAAGGAGCTTTTGATAGGCGGGTTATCCGAATCCCACCTAAAAGGCTTTGGAATGAGCTCCCCTCTACGATGTTTCCCGAGCGATATGACTTGTCTTGCAATATGACGGTAGGCAGCGGCTTAACTCTGCCATTGCTGACTTCCATGGATGACAGTAAACACTCACCATCTGGGCTGTATGATCATCTGCCTACAAGGGCAATAAAAAAAGCCGCTAACTGATACTTCTGGTAAACAGCAGGGTTGCTGGATTATAACCAGCGTGCGGTCATCCGTCACCCATTTTCTCTTTAGCAAGATGCGTATATAGCAGCCAACACTCCGGTTAACTAAACGGCGTATGAGGGAGAGCCGAAGAAGTTAAAGGGACATGATTCAGATGGAAGGCGCAGCGCAGGTAGGCCTCCCACGAGGTAGACCGACAGCCTGCTATTGTGGCGAACCTTGGGGGAGGCCTATGTCCAGCAGTGGACTTACGTGGGCACAGTACAGCACAGATTCTAACGGGATCTCAATCCCGCCCCACAGTTCGACGGATACGGGTTGGTGCGAAGAAAGAAAGAGCACGATGTACCCATACTAAAACATATATTAAACTTTTAGGCATATAAAATTCATTAAAAAAAAATCTTCAAGAAATAGAAACCATAAATCATTTTGTCTGAAAATAATCTTTCAACAAAAAGACAATAGAACGAAACAATAGCTCTTCGAGTAATTCGTTAGTGCAGTGGAAGTTTTATGTAAAAGATGAGGTTACTGTGTACATGCATTAGTCTATCATTACTTTTAGTATTTACAAATGGTAGGGATGAAGATAAAATTGTTAAAGGTGAATAATTTGATTTTTGATAACCCGCTATTTACAGTTTTCGTTTACCGACTATAATTACCAAAAAGTGTTCAGTGTGCTAAATTTAAAAGTGAACTCAAGGTATCACTAAACTTTTTTTAAATCATGACTCCAGAAAGTTCCATAACATAAGTGATTAATATCAGTTAAATGAATCTAAAACATGCTAGATTAAAATTGATTAACAATTAAGATATTTTTAATAAATTACATTATTCACATAAACTGTGTTACTTTTTAACTTGATAGTCCATATTTCTAAAAACGACTGCAACTTTGCCTCTGTTTTCAAGTCATTTTTGGTTCCATTGCAAAGAAAAGAAAATCTGGTACCGTTGATTTAGTGCTTCTACAAACCCGTTAATGTCGTTAGGTTTCCCCGAGGGAAAATTTACCAAGACTTTTGTTATAGGGCAATATTTCAACCATATTTTATTAATCTTTTCATTCGATGACAATGTATTAAAGTTTAAAACGAAAAGTAGCTTAATACATTTCTGATTTAGATAAACGAATGTAGTATAAACATACTATAATTAAGACAATATTAAACACTTTATCGTCGTTGTCAAACCAAAATCTGCTATGTGCACTTTTTGAGATTTTTACTTTTTGACTTTTCGTATAGTTCACAGCCCTATCTACTGTATAAAAAAACTGTTATGTGTCTATAGATTTAATATGTATCTATAGCTTTCATTTGATATAGTTCTTCAAAATTTAGTTTCATATAAAATTTTATACGAAAATGTTTTTACTCTTTAATTCAAAATAGAGTTTTTGCACATAGCAGATTTTAGTTTGACACCGACGTTATGTTAATTTAAACATTCCAGCTTGCTATTGGCCTAATGAAGTATTCGAGCCATGCTTCGGTGGTTGTGCGGAAGTATCGTGTGATAACCCCCGTAGCCACTTACGTCCTTGTTACCCGTACTGCGAGCCTGGCTGTGTGTGTGAAGAACCCTACATAAGGGACGACCGGACCCATCAGTGCGTTCTGCCACAAGACTGCTCTCCGTAAGTCTTTCAATTTAGCAATTTATTTAAATATTTCAGAACGGTTTTTTTTTTTTGGCAAAGAGTTACCACTTGTACATCGTCACCCGTCGTCACGTCAAAGACACGTTGCGTTGAAGTTTCGTGAGCATAAAGACCTCAAATGCAAATGAATGTAACTGTCCACAAAAACAACGTATAGTAAACATGCTACATTTGAAAAGTATAATCTTATTAAGCTATTTTTTTCCAGGACGCAAATGGGTATACCAATACCCACAAAAAGAGACAAAACATTATCACCAAAATATTCAGGAAGGTCATATCGAAGTCATACTAAACGAGAAGGTCAAGAAATTGTCGAGAACGAACTTCCACCGCCGAATTACAAGTTAGAAGATGCTAGAAGGAGTCCAGAAGTATCCAGGATGGGCAATTATTTTAATATTGTCATAGCACCACCGCCCATCAAAGCACTCCAGCCAAGAAAAATTCTACAAAGCGACGCATATAGACCAAACTCAAAAAGAATGTAATTCAAATAAAGATATTTTGTTTCATTAGGTTTGATTTATTTCATTAGGTTCCATTTTGTTTTAATTTATTTTATACCATCTGTTTTCCTATCGATCTCCATAGACAAATGCAAAAATCGTAAACTATGCTTGTTGTGTTTCAATAATAAAACTAAAATGAATTTCATTGAACAATCACTGAAAGGCAAAACAAGGAGATTAAGTTTTTCTATTTTTAATGACTTCAATACGAAGACTAACTCTGCTATCGCAGTTTGGAGCACTGAGGAATTCGACTTTCATTCCATACAACCTTTTGTGTCTTGTTAATATAATAACCCTTTACAACCGTGTACAATTTCACTTGTTTCGCGGTCTTCAATCGACATACATCTGACATTAACAGTGACAAATTAAAATGAGAATACTATTGATATTGGCTCTTCTTTTATGTAAGTCACTATTTGAAATTTTAAACCGGTTTGGATATTGTGACCTTAACACAAAAGTCATATTACAGATAACATTATTGCATTAGCAACGAGACCTAACTATGATTATGAAGACGATATTAACAAAAGACTTATAAGTGAAAGGAGAAACTCAAGACAAAAGGCTTTATTGAAATCAGACGACCATAAAGACTGGGATACTCGACGACGGTTTGAATATGACCGATTCCTTGACGATTCTGACGTTAAGAGCCATACTGGTGTCGATAGAATTAGAGAAGCCGAATCATATCGACAACACTATGAAGATCCTGATAAATGGAACAATGGAGCGACGAAAAGTATGGAAATGACACACGCCGCAATATTTTCGTTAGTAAAATGACTCTTGAATATTTCTTAGCAATTTTAACTTGTTAACCAGAAGTAAATATAACACCGTTAGCCGTTAAAATTAGCTTGATGACTGGACCTTTAGCCTGTCTTCCCAGTAAAGATAATTATAAGCAAAAACAATCGTCATTTATCCATTAATGAGTTTTTTGTCTCGCAGGGAAAAAGACCAAGAAAAGAAGTACCCGTTTGTAATGAATTGTGAGAGACCTCATGAAAGGTATTAATTTAAAATGTAACAAAATCAATAAGAATTAATTACATACATAAATATAAATATTTCTCATACTAAAATTTGAGAAATTTTGGTGTCGAGATATACACTAACAAAGAAACAAACAAAATGGTATTGTGTTACTGTCACACGTCACAAATAACATTAACAATATCAATATTTAAATAATACATTGCCAAACAATGTCAATATACTTTCCCTCAGTTTAAAACAAATTTATTATATTGTTCAATGCATGTGATATGAGGTTATTGAACCGTATCATTTGATTAAGCAAATAAACGGTACGTAGGTACGAAGCGTGCTTCGCTGGCTGTGCTTCAGTAACCTGCGACAACCCCCGAGACCGACTGCGGCCGTGCTACCCTTTCTGCGAACCTGGTTGCATTTGCGTTCACCCCTATGTGAGAGATGATCGGACACACAAATGCGTCTTGCCTGAAGATTGTACCAAGTAAATCGCAGCGACAATAAATAAAATTTGCTTACTTACTAACCTCGTTATGAATATGAACACAACAAAAAGAAAAAAAAAACGTCTAATTAACTTATTAATAGTTGCGGCGTGAAATTATCGAGGAAGGTAGAAGGTAGCGCAGGCAAGTTACCTATTATGCCCGTAGCGTATCTCTTTCGATATTTGCTTTTTTTTTTATTGCTTAGATCGGTGGACGAGCTCACAGCTCACCTGGTGTTAAGTGTTTACTGGAGCCCATAGACATCTACAACGTAAATACGCCACCCACCTTGAGATATAAGTGCCAAGGTCTCAGTATAGTTACAACAGCTGCTCCACCCTTCAAAGCGAAACACATTACTTCTTCACGGTAGTAATAGGCAGGGTGGTGGTACCTACCCGTGCGGACTCACAAGAGGTCCTACCACAAGTCATTACGCAGATTATAATTTAGATTTTTATTACACGATGATATTCCTTCACCGTGGAAATCCATCGTGAACATTTGTTAAGTAGGTACGTATTTCATTAGAAAAATTGGTATCCGCCTGCGGGATTCGAACACCGTTACATTGCTAGATACGAATGTACCAGAGGTCTTACTTATCCTTTAGGCCACGACGACTGCGTCAAATAAAGACTAAATAAAACAGATGCAATAAGAAATTGTGTTCAAAAAATTTTAATCACAAAATTTCTGGTAACAAAATCTCGTGAAAATGTTAAGCTAAATGACTTAATCCGGTGTGGAAATACATTGTAGCAAAACGAGCCTCACCGCAAATTAAAAGGCTCTTAATGAGGATTATTTTAATGAATGAGGCGAATAAAGTAACTTTTATAAGGTTCGTTTTATGTCGGTTTTAACATAAATGATGGGTTTGATAATGATTCTTAGTGGACGATCATCAGTGGATGATTTTAGAATTTGAATATTGTCTGTATTGGTTATTCAGAAACATTAGCATAAAAAAATTACCATAAACTAATTTCGTTTTTAAGCTAATCTTAAAAGCTATGTTCTTACGATTTGTACTTATTGTGATAATTATTTTAATATTTCATTGGCTACCGAGGCTCCCCGTGTTAAGAGGATAATTACTGGAGCCCATAGATCACTGTGTAAGCACCGGCGTAGAACATTCAGTAAAATTGAAAATGAAATATTTTTTTGTTCCCCTAAATGGATTTATCAAGTCGTCTGTCTATTGTTAAGTGATTACCGTAGCCCGTATCCGTCATGACGTGAATGCTACCACCCTCATTGAATGAGTCGAACTCACGATGTTAGTGTACAAGGGCTGTCCCACCCTTCAAACCGGAAAGAAAGATGTTCGAAAAAATTGCCAACCCGGCGTAAACAAAATCGCAGTTAGATTTTATGTTCATGACAATCGCTTACGGTCAGTTTTTAAAAACGGAGGTCATTATATTTCATTTATAATATAATAAATAAAGCAGACTCGCAGTTTTCAGCACGATGTAATTTTAATATGTTGAAACACGTGATTTTTCAAGCATACGCCTCATTATATGTTATATCTTGTTAACAATACGTCAATCAGTTTTTTTTCATACAAAAAAGAATACACATCTCTGCATATCTAAAATTGTAATTAAAAGTATAATTTCATTTTTTACAGGGGTTTAAAAGGTATTCCTGATCTTGGTGACGACCGGTAGAAATGAAATGACCATATACATACATATATCTGTTAAAATGTATTTTTGTTAAATAAACTTTTCTACTACTGCATTTATTTGTTTCATATTTAAGTAAATCAGTTTGTAATGCAACAATCGAGTGTTTAATTTTAAAACACTTGAAGCAAAAAGAAGGTTTCGAAACACGAACAACGCAACACCGCCGAGCCTTATCATTTCAAAGCGGTCATTGTATGGTAGCGCTAAAAAGAAAAACTTACACGCATTATTTTTGCTTGAAAAAAAAACACAAGCCAGCAGAAACTGCACTGTGATAAGTGATTTAAAAAGTGTAATTTTAAAATACAATTTGTGCTTAGTAAATGATCACTTTGTATCGTATTTCAGTTCAATAGAGTTCATAAGGAAATTGCGAAGCTGATGTTCCTTGCGGAGTCGTAACCGCTAATTGGTTGTATCCTAACCTAATGAATATCTGGACTTTATTCAGTTTATTCCTGCCCCAATTTTTTTGTACTAAAGTCAAATTACAATACGGTAACTATCACTAAATTCATAATCATTAAAACTTTTATGTTGTAAATATTTAAAAAAAATCAAATAATCATATTCACCTGTAGCAGATATTTCATCACAGATCTATGTACCAATCTGCATCATGGTAGTTCATCGCATTAGCGTTAGCTTACGGTTAAAACAAACGGATCCTTCGAATCAAAAGAGACTCAGCTCACCAAATAATGGCGTACAAATACGAGTAATGATGAAAAGAACATACAATTTTACGAGATTTAAACCATTAATTTACAGAATGTGGTGAGCATGGCAGATTTGAATATTGCATTGACGGGATCCCGGGATGTATTGTCGGCTGCCACTGCCATCCCGGTTTCTATTTTGATACGGAAACGAAAATATGTGAATCCAAGTAAGTGCAAATAAAATTGAATAACGTTATATATGTACATCAATTTCGAAACCTAAAAACATGTTCGATGTTTAACAATATACATCTTTATTTGTAAGGAAAATAAACGATCGTAATAGAACGATGTAAATGTAGTTTTTTTGAACGATAGCAAAGCTTATAAGTGGAACTGAAATATGTGTAGGTAAATCGTGTTTTCCTTGTAAATAACTTTCAGCACACAAATGATGGAAGGATTTCGACGACATGCGAAGATAGATCCAACTAGATTCCAAATTCCTGTGACAGAAACAGAAAACGTCAGTCCAACTTCAACGGTCGATCCTGTAAATGAGAAAGTCGATGAGATTACGAAAGACGTTGACGACCTTGGTGACTGGCTATACAACCAATTTTTCAAAACAGTAGAAAACCAGGTGATCAACAAAACAAACGATAAAGAGCAGATCGTCAATAGAAGAAGTGGCTCCATGCCGCTAACTCGCAAATCGAAGAAGAAACTTCGCAAACATTCAAAAAGAACAGGAAAGAGGAGGAAAATGAAGAACAATGCCTTGAAAAAGAAAATTTTACGAATAACACAAGACGACAGTCTCTTTGACTCTAGTTCCGATACTTCTTCAGACAGTAGCAGCAGTTCTGACTCAAGCAGCAGCAGTGAAAGCGACGAATATATAAAAAAGGAAAAAAACCACGGTCACAAAAAGATATTGTTGCTGAACAAAAAGCCCAAAGCGCCGTTGCCATCATTTATATTCTTGCCAAACATGGGTACACCCTACTATCCTCCTATAGGCTTACCGCCACCGCCAGCTATACCGATGTATCCAGTTGTGCCTGTACCACCAGTAGGACAGCTGCCCATCTTCGGAGGTATGTATCTAAAATTTA